AAAAATATTTTATTTTATGCAATGCAAAATTTAATATCAAAATGTTGTGAAACATTTATGTAGGTAGCTATTTTCAATTACAGTGCGGATTATGCATACTAATATAATATTAAGTATAGCGAATTTTTTGAGAAGAATGTTAAAGTGTTATTGTATATATGCAGGAAAATATGATATTCAGTGAAAAATTAAAAATTAGTGACTAATAAAACTATAAGATTTCTCATTGAGTTTAAATTTTTGAAAATTAAAAATCAATGTGAAAATTTAATGTAGAATCAAATATAATATTTATTATTTCGTAAGTATAACAGTTATTTTCTTTCGAAATTACCAAATTAGTTTTAAATTTCATACAATAGTTTGCAAATTGAATAATTATGATTTCTCTGTTTTAATCGGTTTTATTGTTGCTAAAAAATATAAGAGGATTTTTTTAGAATTTATTTATTTATATGTAGAATATACACTGAAAAAAACGCATATCTAAAGTTATCCTAAAACATTTCGAAGATCATATTTCTACTTTGTAAATAAAATATATATACTTAATAATACTCGTAAAATTTTTACTCAAAGCAGAAATAAGTAATATGTCTAAAAATATTCCAATAGTTTTTATAGTCAAACGAGCTAAAATTATTGCAATTCATATACGAATAAAATAAACTAAAGGGAAGCGATATAATATACAAGCAATTTCGTGGATAATTCAATTATTATTATATGAATATTGTAGTAAAGGCAATATAAATAGCTCTTTTGACAAGCTTTTTCAAAATATAATTTCGAAAAAATTAATTTTAAAAAAAAATTTGAAATAGCCCTTTTGTTTTTTTCAAAATATAATTTAGCTGAACAAGTAAAAAATGTTCTGAACGACACAAGTTTATCGGTATTCAACAAAAATATTACCAAATGAGAAAAAAATTTTTTTGTGAAAGTGCTATAAATATTTCTCAATTTATCCAAAAATATTTTGAATTTTGCTACAAAGTTATTGTACCCCATTCAGAACTTTTTTTATTCTAACTAAATAATTAATTTTTATAAATGGATCAAAAATTGGAACTAATTTGAAAATTTGTGAAACAATTTTAATTATATTCAATATAAAAGTGAAAAGGCTATAAAGTGAGGTGGTTGTGATTTCGGAAATAGTCTGTTCTGTTTATACAAAAATATCGAATTTTTCTCAGTATATTTTTTCATTTTTCCTCTTTATATGTCTAAGTAAATATATTTACATTATATAGGAAGTTTCTCTGCTACTTTTATAATACTTTCATTATTTTCAAAATGTAATTTATATCTAAGATAAATGTACGTTAAACAATAAACACTAAATCAAAATATTTTGTATTATGTAAAATGAAATTTGACAAAACTTTCTTTTTTTTTTTTCAAAACAAAATATTTCTCATATATTTCATAAATCATAATTAGAATTTATTGCAAAATTTCTCTTTGTCAGATGATATTGTGTGGTCATGAAATTCAAAAAAGAAAAATAAATGTTTTATTTGTTTGAATAACTTTTACATAAGATTATCTTATATACTTACTTACATACATACTTTAGCTACTTTCAATTATATTTTCATTTTATATGAAAATTTATTCAGTGCAAACATAAACAAAATAATACGCAAATCAAATTCAAGGATTGGGCAAAAAATAAAATTTTGTTTTGTTTTTATTTTTCTTCTTTTTTTTTTTTTTGTTTTGTTATTATTTTTGATGAAAAGTTCTTCAGAAAGGAGTAGGTATAATAAATTATAACAATTTACCTGCTCCCATCCTTCTTCTTGCTGCTATACTCACTTCTTGTTTTTCTTTAACTTGTTATTTACAATCATTTTACATATTTCATCAGCAAATTACATATTAGGAAAAAAAAAATTCATTTTTTAAATTTTTTAAAAATCCCATTTAGATCTTTTTGAAATTCTTTTTTAAAACTACTCAAAAAAAAAAAATATGAAACAAAAGGAAAAATATTTTTGTCATATTCAACAAAATTTTATTCATCTTCCTCTACATACACGTACTTGAATTGATGTGAGGTACACAAAACAACAAAATAAAAACAAAACAACAAAAATGTAACCTTAAATTCTGACAGTTTGGCATTTGTAATCATAATTTATATTTTTGACAAAAAAAAAAAAACCAAATAAAAAAGTTTTTCTAAGAAAAATTCTCTCTAAAATATGAAAATTTTTATAACAAAAAACAGGAACAGAAAGCAAGGGTAGGGTATTCAGTAAGAAGGAATGAGAAATATTCTACACATAAGATAAAAGTTTTTCATATAAATTTTATATCACAATACAAAAAATAAAAATAAAAACATAAAAAAAAATAAAAATAAAAAATATCTGAAAAATTATAGGAAAGAGTTGAACTTGAAACTTTCTGTTACCGACATTTTTTTCTTTTCTTAACGATAACCAAAGAAACAAGCAAGAGAAATAACAATAACAACAACTGCTGTTAGAACAAAGTAAAAATTGAAACACCGTTGAAAACAGATGACTTTTTTTTTTTGTTAAACAAATAAAAATTTTATACTACTTTCAAAATGCATGCACAACGCCCCAACATCAAATACACACAATCATTTTTATTTCAAATCACGTTCTTTTCTTGTGTACTTATTCAAACTTTTTCTCAAGTTTTTCTTACCCTATTTTTTAGCACTTTTCCAAAAAATTTTTGAAAAAAAGTGCTTATTAGTTTCACTCTGTCCGTCCGTCCGTCCGTCCGTCCGTCCGTCCGTCCGTCCGTCCGTCCGTCCGTCCGTCCGTCCGTCCGTCCGTCCGTCTGTCCGTGTGTCTGTTTACAAAACTTCTACATTCTTAAAGATAGAAAGCCGAAATTTAATACGTATATAGATCTTTACTAGAAACTTATTTCCGTGGAACAAAATTTTTACCTATCTCCCCCCCTTTAGAAGTTATACCCCCCCAAAACACTAAAAATGGCCTATTTTAACTATTTGTTGCAATGAAACCATAAGCATTTTTGAAATTTTGCAAACGCAGAAAGACAGTGGCTTGCTTCCCCTAGCGCGGTATACTACAGTTAAACTTTAGAAAAACAAAATGGCCGTTCAAATTTACCGTTATCTTAAGTCGTTTTTTTTCCAAATTTTTGATGTCATTTTTCTTCAAGACCCCAGCCTGAAGAACTTTGAAATTTTAGGAGCTTTTAGACATTAACAAAGAATTCATTTCGTTAGAAGAAAATTTTTTTCCATCTCCACCCCCTCTCAAGTTATCGCCTCTTGAAATTCGTAAAATTTGAATTTTTGACACCTTATATTTCCGAAACCGCAAGCTTTTCCAAATTTTTATAAACGCAGAAAGCTACTGGTAAATTCCATGAAATTAAAAAATATAATTATTTTTCTTAACTCACACAATTAACCCTTAAAATCGAGCATTATGTTAACCCCTTTTTATATTAATTTTTGCTTTATTTCAAAGACTGCATAAATCGTTCATCCTAAATATATGCAATCCTAGAAATAGTATCGTTTATGAATGAAAATAATTTTAATAGTGTGGTAGATATACATAGAGTGTTTTTAAAAGCAGGATTTTAACTTGTTGAAGGGAAAAGTGCTACAATACAAACCATTGGTTTGACCCAACTTTATTTCATTGTAAATTTCATACAAATTTTTCACATTTATTTTTGTCCTTTTTTTTACAATAATACTTTGGGGTTTTTATTTTTGTCCTTTTATAGATTTTTTTTTTTAAAGTTACCAAATGCATTCTTTTTTTCCTATTTTAAATTTCAATTTAAATCGTCACAAATTATTGTAATTTAATTGTTATACATCAATAAATTATATTGAGTATTATTTGAAAGAAAAATCAGGGATAGAAAAATTTGGTCGTTTCCACTTGTTCTACTTTAATATTAAATTTTTTGTTAAAAGGATGATATTCAATGCTTATTTTAAAAATTTGTAAATGTTTTCCAAAATATCACAACGGGTCTAGGTGTTCTATATATACTCTTTGGGGGGCCGCGTTAACATAACCTACCGTAACCTAACCAAAAGTTTTTCAAGCAATTTAATTTTAATATGTTCGAAACTATTTTAGATCATTTGAATAACTAGAAAAGGAATTTTGAACAACAATAGGAAATGGTTTTCAATGGTAACACTTTCGAAGGTTTTGCCTTTTTCTATAAAATAAATGCACAATATTATATATGATTTTCGAAAGAAATAGAAAACGCTATATGCATATAGACAGAACATTTATTGACTTAACACAATATTTTGAGTGGTGAACTTTCATCAAAAAATTCTTATGTTGTTTGCATATATGTATGTAAATATATGACAAACGGTTTTGTCCTGTATCTACAATATTCTTCCTAATCAAATATTGAATAATTTTCATTAGAAATCTTTGAGAATCAAAATTTAAAATATAGAAGTTTTTTCAAAATTCACATAAATGTTTCAACTAGATGAAGAATTATTTGTAGAATTACTTTATTTTATAGACTGTTATATTATAATTTAAAAATTTGTATCACAATTTTTCATTATCGACAATTTATATTTGGGACATGAGAATATTTATTTAAAACGGTGATATATTTGTTGTCAATATTACTATACTTAAATATTACAGAAAAAGGCCAAATAATCCCAACAATTACGTTTGTTTAGCCTTTTGGACTTCACTATTAAATATTAATTAAATTTTAATAGAACTATATCAACATCGTTCTATAATATAAATTTGAATATCATTTATGAATAGTAGGTTTAAACTCTAATTATTCAATATTCAAAAACAAATATACAAACATTTTCATTAATAAAAGAAATTGGGCTTTTTCTGATCGTTTTTCTACCTTTTGTCCCTCTTTATACTAAGTAGAATATATTCCTTATTTTTTGTTTTAAAATATTTCCGATAAATATTATTTTATGTTTTTTTATTTTTCCCCATTTTTTTTTACAGTTTATTGGAATCCCGATGATCGATTTTTTATGATTTTTACATTATACTATCATAATTATTATTAGTACGATATTATTAATTAATGATGATATGAAATAATGGTAAGTAAATTTTAATATTAATTTAGTAAAATTGTTTTCAAATCTCAATGAATCCTAAATATTCTATACTAAAACTTCAGAAATTTTTTTTTCATCGCAATTTATTATTATAATATTACAATAATAATTATTATTATTTATTTAATGAAAAATTTCTTTGAGTAATAATAATGTGCGCGATTTCTACAATTGAATTAAACTATAGTTCATATTCTACAGGTGGTAGTTATAATTAAAAATATAACTTCATCAATATGTTCTAAAGTCTTAATTTTAGTAATATTAAAATATTATGCACATGCTACATAAATTTTCGTACCCTACATATTTATGCATTTTCAATCACACTTGAATCATCTACGTGGGTCAAACAAATTATTATTTACCAAAACAAATTTCAATTTAAACATACTTAATTGTTTTAATTTCGAAATATATTTTTAAATTGCTAACACCATCTTTATATTAAAAAAATTATTTTTTAAAATTGTACAAGAATCAAAACTTTACACATACGATTCACCCTCTTCATAAATCCAGAAAATTGAATGTATTGTTTTATACTCTCTTAAACTTTCTTCTTCTATATTCTTAACAATTTATAATTTATTTACTATGTACCTATACGTATAATAAAAGTCTATAAATTGAAATCAAGTACATAAAATTAAAGAAAAAAAGAAAAAAAATATTAAAAATAATGAAAATATTCTGTAAATTTTAAATATTTATTCTATTCTAACATTTTATACTCGTACATTTAAGACATTTTACTGTATTCCTTTTCATATTACGAGTATGTTAGAATGAAATATAAAAATTCAAAAAAAATTCTTACCAAACGCAAAATATATAGATATTATTATGTAAAAGGACACAAGAGGAAAACAAAAATTAAGAATAGAACAAAACAATAGAAGAGAAAAAAAGAAGGAAGAACAAAAAAAAAAGGATACTTTACTTTTTATTATTTCGTTTATTTATGTGTTTTATTTCCACCCACATTTTATTCCAAAATACTATAATATTTTAAACAAATGTATGCATGTGAGTATTAAATAAATATATCATACACACCTATACTTTTATACAAATAAAATGTTACAGTAATATTATAAGTATTATACATGTCATGATATTCCAATAATTCTAAACCAGGACATTAATTTTTTTTTACTCACTTCCTCTCTCACTAACTTTATCTGATTTTTTAATATAAACTTGTTTAAATTTTATGTAAAGGAATTTCGAGAATAAAATAATATTTTTAAAAATTTGGTTTAGAAACAAAAAAAATTCTCAAAATTGTTCTTCACTTTTAAACAAACAATGAAATTTTGCTCTGATCCTTTAGGGTTGACTAGTTCTGTTAACTTGTTTTTTTTTTGGGGGGTTTTGTTATGGATCAATTTTTTATCATACCTTTGTACTTTCACGTATATAATTCCTTAATTCTCCCTAAATTTATTGTAAGGAGAATCTTTTTTAAGTTAAGCTAGTTTTAAAAATATAATAAAGGTCCTTAGATAGGTTCTTTGGCGTTATTCTTAAGCAATGTAAAAATTGCATTCCACAGCAGTACCATATTTTTTTTTTTGTAAAATCAAATTCAATTTTCTTTTGAATTTCTATCAGATTTTTACTATTTCTCTTTTATTTAGTTTTTTAATTCTCTCAATGTCCAAACCCAAGAAATAGGATAATGTCATGCTAATGGCATGTAACATATTTACTCTGTCATATATGGTTGTACATACATGTGTGTATATATTTTTAAGGTAAATATTTTAATGGGGAAAAAAACAAATTTCCAGATTTTTTTTTTCCCAATTCTTTGCCAGTGTTGATTTTTCGTCCTTTTCTTTCTTCCCTGTTTTCTTGTTTTTCTCTTTTTGTTGTTTGTTTGTTTTTTTTTTTTTGGAATTTGTTATTTTATTCTTGGATTTTCATGACAAAACCAGATCCCTTCAAAAACAATTCAAATATTTTGAACATATTTTTTTTTCTGTGTATTATTTGTTTTTCTGTTTTCATTTTTTTTTTTTGTTTTTTAAGTGCTATATGTTTACAATTATGTATATTAAGAACATGTACACCCCATTTATATATTACAATACATAAATTTTTTGGTTTGAGTTTTTTTTTTTAAATATGGCTCTTTTACATTTTTGTTTTGGTGTTTTTTTTTGTGTTATTTTTATTGTTTTTCGTGAAAAATACATTTTTTCACCATATGAAATGCGATTTTAATGTTCCAAAAAGAAGAAAAAAAAAATAACAACAAAACGTGTAACATTTATTTTTTCTTTTATTTTTTTATTATTTTGTTTTTCGAGAGAGAGAGAAAAAATACTTGTTCGGAATTTTTCAAGGATAAGATTTCCTTTACTACATACTTATAAGAAATACAATAATTATATACACACATTGTACACATTACAATATTTTAAACAGAAACAACAATTGAAATTGAAATAAATAGGAAAAAGCAAGAAAAATTAAGAAAAATATAAAAAATTAAAGTGTACATTTGTGAATTGATTTAATGCATTTATAACAAAAACCAAAAAAAAAAAAATAAAAAAAAAGGAAAGGATGTATGAAAGAGAATGGAAATACACAAATTTTCTTGTTATTTTCTTATTTTTATTATATAACATACTTTTTAGGTGAAAAGTTAGCATGTAATTCCCTTTTCTTTTAATCTTGGGTTTTCAACTTGAAATTTTAAATCCTTTCAGTATAAAAAATACAATATAGCATCCGAAAATGTTCAAAGAAACAATATTTTTTATTAAAATTGACAAAAACAAAATAAAAAACAAAGAAATGAAACAATAAAAAGGTACACACAATATAAATTTTATTGTATGTTTGTAGTTAAGTGCATACGAAAATATTTGGTTTAAAAATGATTGAAATAAAAATTTTACTTTTTTTTTTGTTATTATTGTTGTTTTTGTTTTGTATTAAAATTTTGATTGTTTTGTAGCTATAAGAATGAAAATTTTTCTTTTTCAATAAAACAGAAATTCTTACAATTTCCGGTCTATTGAGACTTAAATTTTATTTTTAAAATTGTGCATTAAAATTTCTCTGAGATTTGGTTTTTTTTTTTTGTTTTCTTTTAAATTATACAAAATAATTGTTTTCGGAATAAAAACATTTAAATTCTTCTTACCTGAATTTTTTATATACTCATTATAACTTAAACACCTCCTTATATTAAAAATAATTTTGATTTATTTTAACATATTCTCGAATAATCGATTGTAATGCACAAATTTTCACCATTAAATTTTTATTTCGAGTATTTAAGATGATTTGAGCTAGAGTAATTCCACAAAATGAATGAGCAATAAGTGATTTTGCTCGAGTTCATTTAAGGCAACTTTGAGAAAATCTGAAAATTTTGAAAACTTTTTAACAAAAGAAATTTTTTCAACAAGAATTTGGCTGTACGTACTCTATTTTTTAATTTCCAAGAAAAATTTTAGTCTATGAACAAATATGATGATATGGAAACTCTGTCTAAGGAGTTACATTCTGTTTTTATATTCTACTTTGCTCTTGGAAGAATTCATAGGACAGGTGAATGATATGATTCATGAACCAGTTTCTTGCTTCATTAAATTATACTAGATAGGTGACGAACCTACCTCTTATAATGTATTGCATAATCATATTAATCCATTAAGTATTATAAATGATTATTATTTAATTAGTTATAATGATCAAAAGCATTATGTTCCATATTAATTCAATTGAAATAATGATTTTTCAATTTTAACATAGACATTTTAAAATTTAGAACACAATCTCATAAAATTTTCCTTAAGATTTTATAATTCTGTAATCTTAAACTCTTATGCGTATTTTAAAGTTCTGCTCATATAGTATTAAATATGTAAAAAATGAAAATGAAATAATCTTTATTTTTATATTTGAAGCAAAAAGCATTTCCCTATAGGAATATATACGCTTTTAAAGTTATGAAACAAAAATCACTTTGGTTGTACGTAAATCTAAATGGTTTACTAAAGTACCTATACATAAAAAGTTTCTTTAAAGTTTAAAGTACTCTTAAAAAATCTTAAAATACGCATATTATATTTTACTTTTTTTGAAGTATTCTTAAGTTTTTTTTTTAAGTATAATTGTTATATATGTATTTATGTATATATTTTATAGCGGGAGAACTGATAAACATATTTATGTATGTGTAATGGAACTACAAGTACATATATCAGCTTTTCTCTCATATTTACTTTATCTGAATTTATGTGCTTATGTAGATGTAAGAAAAAATTACTTTAGAATTTTTAATATTGTATTTTCATGTTGAACGTACAATATCCTCGCATTAGAACTTTCTATATATTTAAAGGGATAAAACCCGACTAAATCATAATTGGTAGCTGAATTTAAAGATTTTGTTTAATTTTTAGGGAAAGTTTTAAAAGATTTTCGGACTAGTACTGATTTTATCGAACTATTTTTTAACTTTGAATTTTTGCTTAGGCATCTTGCAAATATACTTGTATTAGAGCGCCTGCTATTAGTTTGACGTTCGTAGGTTTTTTGAAACTAAATTAAAATTTTTGGAAATATTGCATATTTTTTTTGAAAATTACAAAAATTATGATATTTTTTTCTCGCATTTACGATTAACTTCTTAAAATCGTCTTCAATTCAAATATGTTATCATATACCAATATCATAATTTTGGCTCTAAGGCAGCCGTCGGTAAAATGCGGCTCATAATTCTGCTTGCAAGAAAAAAATAGGTTCGATTGCGACAATTAAAATTTCCAAAATAATTTTAAGAACTCAATCATAAATAATAGATAATAAAGGTAGATAAAATTCCATATAAATTTATTATTTATCATAACAAAAAATTAATAAATTCAGTTGAAAATGTCTTTTCTTCTTGTGAGTAGGTAATGTAAAGAATTTGAATGGCTCATGCTTATACTCACATAGCACATATTTGTCCA